ACTTTTTTGTACAACCCTCATCTGATCAGGTGTTACTACTGCTTAAAAATTCATCACTGCACTTGAGGTAGAATTGAAATACCTTCGTATGGCGCACATCACTAACTATGGCTCCAGCCCCACCCTGCCCCTCCTGCCATGGTTTGCTTGTGCTGTTCCCTCAGCCCCTCCTCATCTGTCAGGTGAGGTCCCCCTGTCTTCAAGGTCTGGTTTGCATGACAGTTTCCTTGGGTGACCTTCCCAGGTGTGTGCCTGCTGTACAGTGTGGATTCTTAGGGTTTAGTACTTATCACATAATTGTAATTATTTACATACAGCTTTCATCTGATAAACCCTTGCATATCTGACTCTGACATTTCCCACCTTTGTGACGTTGTGCCTCGATTTCCTCCTTTGTAAAATGTGAACAGTAACTAGCATTTATCTGATCATGTGGCTATTCCAGTTGTACAGTTAATGGACTTAAACCTTGTATGATAGTGTCTGTCATGTAGTAAGTTGTCACCTTCTGCCCTGTATTCCTCTCTCTGACCAAGGGCAGAGGTGGTGGATTATAGTCACCAATGCCCATAATTGTGTGTTGCTGAGTCAGTTCCAACTCATAGTGAATATGGTAAGGTGGAGAAGAACTACCTTGTAAGAGGTCCTAGGCTGTAAGCTTTGAGGGTGTAGATTTGTTGTTGTTGTTATGTGCCGTGGAGTCGGTTCCGACTCATAGCGACCCTGCACAGGGTTTCCTGGGCTGCTAATCTTTACGGGAGCAGAACGCCTCGTCTTTCTTCCGTGGGGCAGCTGGTAGTTTCGAACTGCTGACCTTGAGGTTCACAGCCTGAGTCATAAGCACTACGCTACCTTGAGGAGGGTGTAGGTTGCATGGTCTTTTCTCCCTTGGAGCTGCTAGTGGACTCGGACCCTGAACAGCCAAGTGTTCAGCCATTGTGTTACTCTTGACAAATCAGATGCCTCCAGAGCTGGGCAGGGTTGCTGAATGAATGAAGTGGGCTGGATGTGATTCAGGCAGAGAAGTGATGAAGACTGGAGTGAGGTGGCATTGGTGGAGCGCAGGAATCCCTGTCTAAGGGGTATTTTCTACTCCACTTCCAACCTCTGGTTACCAGCTAGGGATGTTGTTAAGTACTGTGGAGTCTGTTCCGACTCATAGTGACACTGCACAGGGTTTCCAAGGCTGCAAATCTTTATGGGAGCAGAAAGGTAGGGATGGGGACCCAGTATTTCCAGATCACTGCATTAAAAAAAAAAATGTGTGTTTTTCTGACATTTCCTACACAGCCTACAGGCCAAATGCACTAAGTAAGAAGTCTGTTGGCTCAGAGGCTGCTTGTGTGGAGCCCAAGTTTCATCTTATAGAGGCCCAGTGTACAGGTGGGACGTTGCTGGTTTGACCAGCCGTTTCCTGGTATGGGCATGAGTAGTGGTGGCTGTGAGAATTCCATTGTGCAGGGGAGTGCATTTTGCAAAGCAGCTGCCCACATACCAGTATTGGTTTATTATCCTCATCACAACAACTCCCCCTGTCTCAGAGAGACTCTCTTGGTATTTTAAAATATGAGTGTGGGTCTCTTTTTATCCCAGGAGGAAAAATTTTGTGCATTTATGGAGAACCTACTGTCTGCCTTTGTCTCTGGGTGATGTACACAGTTACACACTTGGTTGCTAACTGAATGGTGGGATGTTTGAATTTATCCAGAGATACCTTTAAAGAAATGTCTGGCAATGTACTTCTGAGAGCACAGTTGTATTCTGACTCACTTGGGGTTGTGATGAGGTAGAATTGGCTCAACAGTAGCTTTTTTTGTTTTGTTTTTATTTTGTTTGGCTTTACTGTGTGCCCAGGTACAGTTAGGGGTTTTGCATTTTATTTCTCCTTTATTCCTTTTTACAGCCCTCTTCCTGAGATCCTATTTTATAGCTAATAAAATTGATTCATAGAGAAGTTGCCTTTTGAGGGCCTCACAGAAAGAGATTTTGTCAGGATTGTATCAGACTGTCTGATTGAAAGCTTGGCCTTGGGGCAACATGCTGCTCCCCACTTTTCCCAGGCAGTACCTTTGTGGGGCTTTGCTGTTCCCTGACCTTCCCCAGAGGCCAGGGGACCTGGTGTGTCTGTGCTTTTTCCCCAGGGAGGACAAGCCCCGTGTTGTCCTCTGTCTTTAGAAGCTGTAGTGGGTGAGTCCAGGCTGGCCAGAAAGGAGAGCAGGCAAGACTGGGGCAAGTGACCACAGTCTGTGTGTTAAAGTGTGAGCCAGGATTGCAAGTTGAGAAACTCTCATACAAGGCAAAAGGTCCTTATCTGAGAGATTAGGCATCATTTTCAAACCCAACTGGACAGTCCATGATGTGATTAGAATACTGATCAAGACCTCCTTAACCTCCATGAGTATCCTACTCACCCAAGAGGCCTCTACAATTGGGTGTTTATGGATATGTTTTTTAGATAATTACTTGTGTACTTAAGAGGTAGGCCCTTTCTATTTAGTGGAATGACACATGTTTCACCAACAGGCAAAACATGGGCAGCTCCATGGCTGCTTATCCCGTGTTGCTTCTTTTTCTGTAAGCATCTCTTTCCCCCTTCTCTGAAACCTATGCACACCTATACACACACACAGATACACATTCATTATCCATACACATGCATGTATACATATACATGTATCACATGTGCATGCCCACAACAGATACAAATGCATACACACACATGCATGCATACATACATATACATGTACCACAATATATTCATACCCATGCATATCTACACACATGCATGCATGCATACATATTCATGCCTATCCATGTGCACACACATCTTGGTACATAGTAATGCATGTATCCAGCATGCAGTAATGCACATCCATACTCAGACATTTACATACATGCATGTATACATATGCATGTAGCACACCTGCACACCTGCATATGCACAGATGTACACAATACAAATACATGTATGTACATGCATGCAATATATGTGCATAGCCACACACACAATACAAATGTGTATTCATGCACATCTACACACGTATACCCCCTTTCACAGTCATGCACACATACACACAGATTCACACATCATACATGTGAACATATAAACACACACACATGCACGTGTGTGTGGTCCCCATGAGGCAGAGGTAAAGGGACAGGATCAGGAGATGTGGGCTCTACAAAGTATCATCTGACCCTCTAGCATGTCCTCTTAGACCTGGAACTGAGTTTTTCTTATTTTTTTCCTTCCTGTACCCCATGATGTAGTGTTGTGGGTTAATGCGCTGGACTGCAAAGTCGCTTGAAGTGCAAGGCCAGCCATTCAAGCTCACCAGCTGCTCCTCAGAAACCCTATATACAGCCTCGCTATGGGTTGGAACTGACTCGATGGTACTTAACAACAACAACCCGATGAATCTGATGTTTTGACTTTTACAGTGTATTTATCCCTCTACCTGCTGTGTCCTCCCACACTCTTGTCGAGGCCCAGGCTGCATGGGGCTTTCTCCAGGATGGTGACCACATTTATCTCGTGTTTTCTCCACGATCCAGATTCTCTTATTTTCTGAGCAGACCCCATGCTGCTTCCTCTCCATCTCAGCTGAGTGTGGACTCAGGGTTTCCTCTCTTTCTCCAAATGTCCACTCACCCTTAGATGTCCCCCGTTTGGAAGTTTCCCGTTAGTGTTCTCTGGACCCCTGTCTAGCTTGGGAAGGGTCTCTGCCTTTGGGTTCTTTGGCCCAAGTACCCTCTCATCCTGGCACTGACTTCTCTGGAATGGGCTGTGAAGACCTATCACACTAACTAGCCTGCAAGTGCCATGAAGGTGGGGCCGTGCCCAGGTTTGGCACCTGCTAAATCACACTTGTGTTTCTGAAGACTTTTGAGAGCATTAAGTAATAGTGTCATCAACATGATTCGGAGTAGCTAGAGACGGTTGGGCTGGACATTTTTTCCCTGAGGATCTGAGCAGAGCTTTTTAATCTAGACCTCTACAACCCTCATGATAGCCAATAGCTACATCCAGCTATTTACATTTAAATGTAATTCATAAAAATGAAATCCATGAAAAGTTTAATTCCTCAGTTATGATAGCTACATGTTAACTGCTCAGTAGCCACATGTGGCTAGTGGCTTGCTGTATGTGACAGCTTAGATTACAGAAGCTGTCATCATTGCAAAAAGGCATATTGGGCAGTGCCACTTTAGCCACTGTCTTGGAAAAGTATTATTTTACAGGGCTTATATGTTGCAGTATTGTTTGTGCTCAACTAATCTAAAGGTTGACAGTTAAAACTCAGCCAACAGCACCACAGAAGAAAGGCCTGGGGATCTGCTTCCAAAGGAGTACATCTCAGACTATAAAGTGAATAGTAGCACCTATGAGGAACGTGCTCCTCATGGTAATCAGCCAACCATATCAGACCCGAGGGCAGCATTTGAACAAAAACGAAGTTCAGAAGGCAGGAAGGGGGCAGCAAAAATGGGTACATGGAAAAGGGGGAAACCCAGGGAGTGAGTGGGAAGAGTTCTGTTACATTGTGCAGATTGCAACTAGTGTCATGAAACAACATGTATATTAATTGTTGAAGGGAAAACTAATTTACTCTGTTTAAACTTTCACCCAAACTATAATCATAATAGTAAAAGATTGCAGCCAAGAATACCCTATGGAACAATTCTACTCTGTAACACATGGCATTGCCGTGAGTTGGATAGACTTGATGGCAGTAGGTTTGGCTTTTTATAGTGGTAGAGGAGTCTCTAGTTGGCACAAACAGTTAAGCACATGGCTACTAACCAAAAGGTTGGTGGTTCGAATTCACCTAGAAGCACCTTGAAATAAAGGTCTGTTTTTGACTTACTTGAATTTGAGGGTAACTGGTGATATTTGTTGGGCAAAGCCCTTGCCCTGGTGTTTCTGGTTTGATAAAGCAAGTGTTTTCAGATCCCTTCTGGTACCTTAACCATATTTCCTTGTTTCTGCCTGCCTCTAGGATGCTCGACAAAAGTTCCGCTCTGTTCTGGTTGAAGCAACGGTGAAGCTGGATGAACTGGTGAAGAAAATAGGCAAAGCCGTGGAAGATTCGAAGCCCTTCTGGGAGGCACGAAGGGTGGCGAGGCAGGTAAGGTTGCCCCCAGACCACCTTATCACCCATCGGGGCTTTGGGTGTGCCTTTTGATGTCTGTAACTCTTGTACCTTTTGAGTTGGTATTTCCTATGAAGGTTAGAAGTGCAGGCTTTTGTGTGACGGGAAACAACTGTGTTTGAAGTTAGCCCTGTTCATTTTCCTTCTTCCACAATCAGCTTCATTCCAGCTCTTGGTACTGTTAGTAGGGTGTGGTCCCTGGCATTTGGATGGCTCTGGGAGTGGGTGCTGCCTTGCCATGTGAACTGGTACCATGTCCAGTTCTTAGGAGCAGCTTACACTGACCTGTGTCTAGAGCATCATGTTTATTCATTCCTTGTTTTGCTCCTAATGATGGTCTGTCAGGAAGCAGGAGGAATTCTTCTTCCCCGTGTACCTTCTCCTTGCTGGGATTAATGGGTGGTGCATACTGTTGACACACACATCTGCTAACCTAAAGGTTGAGGGTTCAAGTCTACCCAGAGGTACCTTGGACAAAAGACCTAGTGATCTACTTCTTGGAAAATTGTGGTGTTACTGTTAGCTCTTGAAAACCTTGGGGGCCCACGTTTACTGTGGCACACATGGAGTTGCCATGAATTGGAGTTACCGCTACACTAACTGGTTTTTCTTTTTTGTCTTGAAATGTTGGTTGTTTTGTCTTGAGAACCCAATAAGCACAGAGGGACAATGATCTCTAGAGGGTGAGGGACGCCTGCCCTTTCTCAGTGTCCAGGGAAGTTGTGGTCAGGCAGTTGCTTTGAAACTAGGTCTGGTTTCAGAGTGTCTTCCTGTGACTGCTCCTGTGGTGACCTCAGTGCCTACTGTGCCTTCTTTCCACTTCTTGATAGCCAGGCTATGCGAATGAAGAAGGGGAAGACCCCTGACCTGTACTGAGCACCTGCTGTGTGCCAGGCCCCGGGCTGGGGGTTTCCATAGACCTCATCTCATTCAGACTTCCGCAATGGTGCTATCCAGCCTCCTTCTCGCATGTGTCTTGAAATAAGAGCCCGGATTTCCCAAGAAGCTCTAAGCAGTTGGTCCAAATTGTATGGCACTAACAAACATTCTCTTGTTTTGTACATGTATTCGTTAATGGAATATGCTGTCTCCAAAAGTCTCCACTTGTAAGAAAATCTTTAATGAATTAATAAGTATTTGAGCACTCAGCGGTATGCACAGCATGTTGTTGGGTACTGTGGGTGAGTTACCGATAGTGTGAGCCCTTGAGAAGTTTATTGTTGTTGTTAATTGCTGTCAAGTTGACGCTGACTCATGGCAACCCCTTGTACAACTGAATGAAATGTTGCTCAGCCCTGCACTGCCTTCCAGTTGTTGGTGTGCTCGACAAGTCCATTGTTGTAAACACTGTAAGTACCTTCCAACCTAAGGAGCTCTGGTAGCGTAGTGGTTATGAGCCAGGCTGCTAACCTCAAGGTCAGCAGTTTGAAACTACCAGCCGTTTCACAGGAGAAAGATGAGGCTTTCTACTCCTGTAAAGATTTACAGCCTTGAAAACCCTATGCAGAGCGGCTGCGCATCAGAACTGGCTCCATGGCACACTGCCACCACCACCTTCTAACCTAGGGTGTTTATCCTGCAGCACTCATCAGGTAGCATTCTGTTGTGAACCATAGGGTTTTCATTGACTAATTTTTGGAAGTAGATTACAAGACCTTTTTCTCTCATCTATCTTAGGCTAGAAGGTCCACTGAAACTTGTCCACCATGTGTGACCCTGCTGATAGTTGTAATACTGGTGACCTAGCTTCCAGCATCACAGCACTACGTAAGCAAGCCACTGCAATACAGCAAACTGACAGCTGGGTAGTGGTCGGACTCATAGAGGATGAGTGCCATTCACCATTCCTCATATTTTCCCTTCCTCTGTGCTCCTCATAGTGCCCATCAAGGGATCCCCTTGATTCTGCAAAAGTTCTAAGTTCTTACCTATGGTTTCAGTTTTTGCCCTCTGAATCCTGAACCAGGGCTTCTGGTTAGAACCTGCCAGTTATGTTGTCTCTATCCTTAGACAGAACAGCTACCAAAACAGCTACCCGATCCCTGGTAAATTGGGCCGTACAGTCAGAGTCCCATTGACTTGTTGGTTTACTGCAAGTCCATCTGCTCCCTTTGGGCCTCTCCCTGGACTTTAGGTTCCAGGAAGGAGAAATTCTTCTCCAAAAGGAACTATGAAGAGATCTGAGGTATTGCACTGCTGCTCCACAAGTCCAGGAACATGTCTACCGTTGTTAGTCCAGGGTAGTAGTATTCTTGACCTAGAAGTGCAATTTGAAGGGTTTGCGTTAGATTTGAGGAAATTTTTCTTGATAATTCAACTTAGACATTGGAAAAATCCTAAGGAGGTTTTGAATCTCCTTTTCTAATACTCTTTAACACTTGAATTCATTGTCCTCTGCTGAGGGGTCTTTCTATGTATCCAACAATTAAGAACATCACATGTGCCTTGTGCTGCAGAATGGCTTCAGAATGGTCTTGTTCAAGGTTTTCCTTAGAGTGGCGACAGATCCACTAAGACTCTGGTGGGAAACCTGGATATGGGATGTTTTGGTCAGGGGGCCTCTCAAGATTGCCCCTCTGGTTCTGGTCTCCAGCCCCAGGTGATGGGTAGTGGTCTCCTTGGTGTCCTGGTCAAACACTCTCCTTTTCACGGTCTTTGAACTTGCTGTTTCCTCTGTTTGGCATCTTCTTAACCCAGATATTTGCATGGCCCATGCTCTGGGTTTCTGTTCAAATGCTCCTTTTCCAATAAGGCCTTCTTGGGTTGATATATTTAAAGCTGAAACTTACCACCCACCATCTCTGCTATGCCTGGTCCTCCTTTTCTTTTCCTCCATAGGATTTGATACCATTTGTCTTGTTATAGTAACTTAAGCGAGGTTCTGTAAGGATGGGGTGTTTTGTCTGTTTGGTTCGCTGCCGTGTCTTCCATGCCTAGCATACAAAAGATGTTCAAATATCAGTTAATGAACATGAGAGAATGATGAGGTTGGTGAGCCACTGAAGGCTCAGGTGTCCTGAGCTTCTCGTCTCCACACTGCCCCTTTGCCCACAACTTGCTTCCTGCCTCGTAACTGGGTAACTTGCAGGGCTGGGAACATGACAGGCAGATCAACTTCATCTGGGTTGGGTTCATTCAAATCTAGTTTAGCAAGTGGATCCGAGACTTCCATTGACACATCCTGAAGTAGATTTCATACCATTCCCTTTTTTTTCCTGTGACCAGTCCTTGTGACCAAGATTGGAGGGAGCTGGGTTGAAGGCTTCCAATCTGCTGGGAAGATTGTGGCATTTCTCCTTCCTCTCCTTCCTCTCTTGGTTGGTGAGGACAATGATCAGATAATTAATGAGTCCCCTGGGGGGCAAGCCACTGAGTCATGGGGTCTAATCAGCATGGGGTCTAATTAGATAATACCCAGACCCTGGGGGTGACTGATACATGTTCATCTGATGGAGTCCAACATTCATGTTCAGGGCACCTTGCTCAGTTTTATATCTTAAAGCCCTCCCTGTACCTCCTGCCATCTTGTGGGTGGGTCAGGAAGGACCTGCAGTGAAAGGCCCAGAGTGACCCCTTCCCCTCAGCTTCAGAGGATCTTGTTGGTCTAAAGCTGAGGAACTGGAAGGCTGTTCAGAAGCTGAAGCTGGGCATTGGTGTGCAATTGTATCGCTGTGGATGGTCTGGCATTGGGCTTGGGCCAGAAGGATGAGCCTGTTTGTGTGAGGATGTTCCTCATGGTCTTCTCTGCAGGGGTGGGAGGGAGGGGGATATTTTTCTCCAGCTGCTGCCAAGCGGGCCTTCCTGTTTTCTTCCTCTAGTCTTATCCCACCTCCTTCCTTTTTATATTTGCAAACCCTTTTGATTGGTTATAGCAGGGGTGATCTCTGAGCGATTCATTCCTTCAAAGCATTTGCTTCAAGTAGGTGTGGTGAGTGAAGCATTGCATTCTCAGAGCCTTTGTGTCCCCATCTGTGAAACAGTGGTGGCCGTGGGAACCTTCCTGGGCTAATTTGTGAGGATGTCTATGAAATAGCGTGTTTGGTGATGTAATCCCTCAACAAGCTTGGATTTAACCTCATTAAAAAAAAGTTGTCTTGGAAAATTTAGAAAAAAGATAAAAAGAATAAAATAATGCCCCTCACTTTATGGTGTTTTTCTTTTTTTAAAATTGTGGTTTGGGTGAAAGTCTACAGCAATTTAGTATCCCATTCAGTAATTTATATACTTTTTATTTGTAGCATTAGTTGTAATCCCACCTTCTGAAGCACATACCTCCTACTCTTTTTGTTTGCTTGTTTGCATGCTTAATAGATGTTGCTTTTCAGAGCAGTTGCAGGTTTTCAGAGAAATTGTGTAGGAAGTACAGAGTGTTTCCACATACTCTCCTTACTCCTACATACAGTTTTTCCGGCTGTTAACATCTTGCATTTATCTGGTGCATTTGTTTGAATTGATGAACCAATATTGATGCATTACAATTAAGTGAAGTCCGTAATTTACATTTGGGAGTGTGGTGGCTCTCAATAATAGCACTGGACTGCAAACCACAAGGTCTGCAGTTCAAGTCTGCTAGCTACTCGTAGGGAGAAAGATGAGGCTTTATGCACCTGAGAAGAGTTAAAGCCTCAGAAACTGTATACAGGGTCACTATGAGTCAGAACCAACTCAACCACACTTAATAACAATAGTTTATAATAGGGAGCCCTGACAATGCTGTGGGTTACGTATTAGACTGCTAACAGCATAGTTGGTGGTTCAAACCCACCAGCTGCTCCCTAGGGGAAAGATGTGGCTGTATATTCCTTTGAAGATATTTAATCTAGGGAAGTCTATATAGACTTGCTCTGAGTCAAGTTGATGAGTGACTTACAACTTACTTTAGGGTTCGCTCTGTGTGATTTTGATAAAAGACTTCAAAAAAGAAGCCATGCTGTGTCTGGGATGCCCATATCTAGACCCTTCTAGAATCTCAGTGG